ATTCGATGTGTAGAACAGCCCAAAAACGCGGAGAAATGGGTAAAGGTATAGACCGGGTTGACTGCTAAAACTAGAAGGATCCACCCGTGGTGGGCACGGCGTTCTCCAAAAAGGTGCTGCTTAGAGGTAAGATTCCTAACTCAGTCATAAGGAAGTTTACAAGGCAGGAAACATCTACGCATAAAGGGACAAGGTCTGAGGTGTGGCACACTTGGGGTGGGCGGGGAACGAGCCCCATGCCTATAGTGGTTGAAGAATGCTCCTAAATAGGAGGGATTTACGAATCTTCATAGATCTATCCCAAGAAGGCGGAGAAAATTGGAAAAGGCGGATATAGGCTAGTTAAGCGGAAGCAGCCGTTGTCTCAGCATGACTTTTCTCACCAGCCTACCCAGCATATTTCAGTACGTTGTAATCACATATATAGAAAGGATGACAGATTAGTGAGTTGGATTGTTAAGGAATCTCGCCCTTCGACTTGGTCTACCTGTGCACATTACTTTGAAAAGGGGTGACAAGTCGAGCGCCGAGAAGAACTCTGAAGCAAGAGAAGACAATCAGGTGTGACAACGTTGTGGACGACGTGCCTGATGCTGCTCTATCCGAGGGGGGCTCATCAGCTCATTCGGATCTGGAAATTGACGAAGATGAGCTTTGTGGCATGCATGAAAAGCGTGGTAATGAGCAAGATCAGCACCAGGAACATTATTTTCTTGATGCACAGGTTGGCTTTATTACGACTATGGTTTGGTTTCTGCTGCTACATGTTTGTTTCAGACTGAGGAAGCCGAGAATCCCTCGCCAGAATCGTCAGTGAAGGCTTCCAGTTCTGGTGATGATACGGAGAGCCGCCCATCAAGAGTAAGGCGAGCTCCTCGGCGATTTGTTGATGATTGAACATTTTGACCTGCACTGTTGTTGTGAGACAGAGCTGATATTGGAGTCCATTACTCTCACGGGCTATTCTTACGTTTTTAGTTTTGTGTATTTCTTAGGCTTATTTCAAAAGATGTTTTCCTTACAAGTTTCTGATTGTTTACGGAATGTTCCGTTGTCTTATGTGCTTGTATTATTTCAAAGTCATTACTTTCACCTGAATTTGAGTTGAGTTGGAACAAGGTTTATTAAAGATTTGATTTCATTTTGGTAATAGAGGTTCTTCTTTGTACGCTGTTCGTACCTTGTTGGCGATGAAGAATATGTGTATGAGAACTGAAATAATTTTGGAATAAAATAAGGTTTGTGATGTACGAAGGATGAGTCTTGTGAGGAATTGTTTTAAAAAGAAACCAAAATTTTGGCACACCAACCAGGGTCAACTGTGACGTTCGCACTTTTTCAGATAATTTCACGACCCCCTCCTTTAGGGGATTCTCGATGCGACCCCCACCACCACCATGAGACTCAGGAGGCTCCCCCAATACGACCACCCTTCTTCCTACCCCGACCACCACCCTCGCCACCATCATCATGGCTGTTCTATAGTATCTTGATTCTGAGACCAGTCGACAGCCCCCAACTTCAAACGCCATCGAGCAGGGGGGGGGGGGTACATCTCCCACCTGGTCTACCTCACGCTGCTGTACACCAATCACACCTTAAAAAACCTATCCAAACCGCCTCATCATTCACTCAAGAAGTCACAAATCCCACTCAACCCCTGAATGCGACCCCCTTCCCCAAAACCAACTACAAATGCGACCCCCTCGTTCGAATAGTGCGAACGCACGGCTGACCGTGACAAATTTCGATAGGAATTTCGATTTAGTTTCGGAATTGGGAAGCATCTTGTGCTGAGCTAATCAGAATTTGCAGGGCCGATCCCGATGCGGCTGACAGTACCTGCACTGAACATGGCCCTACCACTCTTTGACCTGTTTCCGGTATTTTCCTTTTATCAGGTTGAGGAGAAAGTCTTGAAGGGGATTCCCGTTCTTTTCTAAATTTCTCAGGTAGACTATAGGAAGGATCCCATAGTGGGATCATGTGGAAGGCTCTTCAAGGGTTGACTTGACGGCTATTCAACTCCCATTTATACGTATAAAACAATAGTAGCAATAGTAATAGCAAGCAGTAATGACCTCAGTTGTCTGAATTCCAT